GCCCCGCGCCCCCAATGCCGCCCACTCACAGCCCCGCCGGGATCCGCTTGGCATTCTCCTACCGGCTCCTCCCCAGCCCCGGGCCTGCGCATCGGAGTCCTTCTAGCTGTAGCGTCTGTCCCCGCCATCAGTGGGACTCAGGCCCCTCCCCACCCAGAGCCAAGGCGAGCCCCCCACAGAGACCAGCACACACTGGCGTATCCCTCGCGGCTGTCTCCAAGGAGCGAGGCATAGAGGAAGGGTCCACAGCCCCCATCCCAGGACCAGTCTCAGGCTCACCCGATCTCCGGATCTCGTGGGGCCTCCGCATCCAGCAAAGCTGAACCACGAGGACCCTTAAAACACCTCCTCCGCCCCCCTGCCCCAGCCCAGGGCGGCACCCCCTCTGGGCAGAGGGAAGCTGAGTCACCAGGGCTACCCACAGTTGCGGAAGCAGGGTATAGCCAGCCAGCATCCATTCCTGGCCCGCAGACTGTGCCATCCCTTGGGCACTTGAAGCTGACTCATAGCTGGACTTCCTGCGGTCTGCCCCCCGCCCTGGCAGAACAGAACCCTTAGCTGGGAGACAGATTAGCTCCCACGGAGCCCTTGCCCCTGTCTGAGTCTCGGTTTTCCCACCCGAACAACGGACACTTTCCGAGCTTAGATTGGGTATAATAGCGCGCCCCACTCAGATTCCAGGCCGGGCCCTGACCTTTCTGGGCTCTGGAGTCCAGGTGTCCAAGGACCAAGGCTCAGTGAGGTGTCCAATGCCAACTATGAGCCTCCTTCCTGTCGTTGGGTTTCCTTCCCTTGCGGAAGCTACTGCCCACCAAACACGGCTCACGCTGTTGTCTGACCAGCAAGTGCTGCATGACAGCAACCTGTCTGAAGGCGCGACTCAAAAGCGGACCGCTTAGCTCGGCCCGTGGCGCCCTCTTGTGGTCAGGTAGCGGAATGTGCCCTCGCAACCCCACAAGCACTGGACACAAGTTTAAAACCCCCAGCCTCACAGGAGATCTACTGAATCAGATGCTCCCTATTGGAACTGGACCCAGGAATCTACATCGGCACATTTGCCTCTGTGATTCTGACACCTATTGGAGCCTGCAAATTGCTGCTGTATAGCCTAAGCTGCAGGGCAGGGGGTGCAGATAGGGAGATTTCCAGGCCAAGAACCCAAACATGGGGGTGTTTAGGCAGGGTTTCTCCAGGAAGGGATGTGGGAGGGAAACTGAGCCTGCCAAGGGGAAATCCCCCCTTCCTCCTTTGCCATTTTCTGAGAAAGAAGAATCTGGGCTCCCTAAGGATTATATTATCTTTGGGATTCTTGTCAGTTTTCCAGTAAGTTTTCTTCAATAAAAACAATAATAAGCCAGGCTCGGTGGCTCAGCCTGTAATCCCGCGCTTTGGGAGGCTGAGGTGAGTGGATTGCCTGAGCCCGCGGGTTCGAGACCCGCCTGGGCAACTTGGTGAGCCCTCATCTCTACAATAAATAAAAAAATTAGCCAGGTGTGGTAGCGCACGCCTGTAGTTCCAGCTATTCGGAAGGCTGAGTCGGAAGGATCCCCGGAGCCCAGCAGGTCGAGGCTGCGGTGGCCAGGAACGGCCACTGCACTCCAGTCTGGGCGAAAGAGTGAGACTCCAACTCAAAATAATAATAATAATAATAACTTTTGAAAAGAAAAACACTCCAGCCCTTCTCAGAGTGGAACTGATGTGGAGTGGCAGGTGGTGAAGATCCTCTCTTCCAAGACAACCACGAAGGGGCTCCCAAGTTGTCCTGCCTCAGGAAGGGAGGCTATGAGGACTATGGATTCACAAATGGGGTCTGGGGGAGGGGGCTTGGTGAAAGGGAGGGGCTTGTACACCCCAGGTTGGGCGGGGAGGTTGAGGGCAGAGCCCAAAGCAGGTGACCCAGCAGCAGCCATTCCAATGGGAGCCCAGAAAGGCCAAGGTACAGGAGGACACCACCACTGGCTGCCAGGGACAGAGAGCTTCATCCCATCCTGGAGGCAGGTGCAGGGTGATCCCACCCACAGAGGAGAGGCCTCAGCAAAGGAAAGGAAGCCAAGTGCCCAGGAGCAGGCCACTTGAGTGGTGGCGGGAAGTTCAGAACAGGTCTGTGTGGCTCCAGGGCCCCAGCTTCTAATCTGCCTCCTCCTGCAGGCAGTAAGGCCCTCAAAAGAATATCTCCACATGGGAGGATGAGGGCTGGGGCAGCCAGCTTCATGGAGGGCAGCAGGGGGCTCCCTGCACTCCTTGGGGTCTACCTGAAAGTTCAGAGCAGCCTGCCCTTGCCTAAAGGCTCCTCAAATCTCTCAGATCTTAGTGCTGCCCTTTGGGGGGCTCAGGCTGCTGCTGTAGGAAGCAGCTGACGCTAAGAGGGACTTTGGGGGACACTGGGAGGGAAGAAGGATCCATTTCTAGCAATCAAGTTGCAGAGGCTGTGGGACGGGCCTCTCTTCTTGTCGTTGCATGTGCCTCGACAAATCACTTCATTCCTGGAGCCTCAGTTTCCCCTGCCTGATCAATGGAGAGATCACATGCTCTGTAAACCAAAACATCATCCCACAGCTGCAGGTTAGGAAGCAGACTTAGAAAACAGAAGGGGCTTGTCTGGAGCCATTATGGATCAAAATGTAGGCTAGACACAGACCTGGTCCCCGGTACCAGAGGGAGGGCCTCTGTTGATCAGACTCTTACTCTGACATCGGGCCCTGCACTGAACATGACTGTCCCCTTACCAACACCACTCCTCAGGGCCCCTGCCAATTGTGCCACACTAGATACCCGACCCAGTATCCCAGTGAACTCGCGGCTTTGGGACACAGTCTGAGAAGGTAAGGGGGGCTGGAGGCTTGAACTGGAGGGTGGCAGAGGCCCTGCTGGGGCCACACCCAGAGAAAGCTGACTGAGGGGAAGAGGCAGACGGGCCCAGGGCAGTGGAGATGAGGGAGCCTTGAGCCCCAGCTTCAATTTTACTGCAGACCTTGGCTGTCCCCAAGTGGTGGGCTGGTCTTTTCGAGCAAATACTCTCTGAGAGGGATTCAGGAGCTTCCTGCTCCTCAGAGCCAAACACACCCCAACAGTCCCCCTTGGAGGGAGGATCAAACCAGCTGGTGGATCCTTGCAAGCCCAGTGCAGGGAGTCCCCTGTAGTTGCCCTTCACCTTCTCTCTCTCCTGGTCTGACTTACCACAGCCAGTCTCCCCAACATGGGGGGGCTCATGGCTTCCTCGGGTGAGTCTCAGGGGGCAGGGAGGTGGCACAATGCAGTGGTGGTGTCAAGCCCTGGGTTGGAAGATCTCAGCTCTGTCCCTTATGGGCTGTGTGACCTAAGGCAAGCCACGGATCTCTGAGTCTGTACCTCTCTGCTGCCAGGTTGTGAAGAGAGGGTCGTGAATCCTCCCGCTAAGCACCCCTCACCATGATTAAGGAGGACAAGTGCAAGCCTGGGTGCAGATGTTTCACCTGAAAAACAGGGGCTGATTTTGCATTTGCCTGCCTGATATTCCTATGTTTGTTTGGATATAAAGAATGTTTTATGTGTTGCCCATCGAAGCTGGTCTGGATAAAAAAAAAAAAGTGGTACATATACACAATGGAATATTATGCAGCCATAAAGAAGGACAAATATATGGACTTTGCAGCAAATTGGGTGGATTTGGAGTTGATCATATTCAGTGATTTATCACAGAAACAAAGAACTGAGTTCCATATGTTCTTACTCATAAATGGACCTTGAACAGTTATAATGCTATAAGAAAGCGATTGACAGTAGTGGAAAACTATCAGGGGAAGGGGAGTGGGACTGGCAATAAAGGAAACTGCTAGGGGAGGGAGAGGCATACCTCATCCACAAGGGTACTTACATGATCAATGTTTGTATACCTAACCCTGAATTATACCCCATATCTTTATAATAAATAAATAGGTTAAAAAAAAAAAGGAATGTTTTAGCACCAGGCTCGGTGGCTCAGCCTGTAATCCCAGCACTTTGGGAGGCCGAGGTGAGTGGATTGCCTGAGCCCACGGGTTTGAGACCCGCCTGTGCAACTTGGCAAGACCTCGTCTCTACAATAAATCCAAAAAAAACTAGTCAGGTGTGGTAGTGCGTGCCTGTAGTTCTGCTACTTGGAAGGCTGAGGTGGAAGGATCGCCAGAGCCCAGTAGGTCGAGGCTGTGGTGGCCAGGAGCGTGCCACTGCACTCCAGTCTGGGTGACAGAGTGAGACTCCAAATAAAAAAAAAAAAAGTTTTAAATAGCTGCTTCCCCTACATGCCCAGACCCTAAATACTAGAAGAAAAGGCACATGTTTAATCTGCAGCTTTGAGGACTCCAAGTGCATCACTGTGACTTCCTGGGCACACAGAACCAGACCTGACATGCCGTCCATAAGTGGCAGGCTCCCTTTTTAACCTTGGTGGGGTGAGGCCCGGGAAGTGAGCCTTGGACTGAATCCCACCTCCCAGAGGACAGCCCGGAGTCTCAGTCCCTTCCCCCAAGTGGTAGGATCTTCACATCCTGGCTGCTGAGGCCTGGAGTGGTGCCTTGACTGTGTCTTGGGGAAAAGCAGGGAATGAGACCCAAGCTCCAGGGCCCCAGGCCTCCAGCTGAATCGGGGCTCTGCCATGAGATTATAACAATCATTGGATTTCCCAATTTCCAGCATTTTAGTGAAGGAGCTAAGAGGGCATCCCAGGCCAGGTCTGTGTGCCTTCTAAGCCAGGTGCCCTGCCCAACATTGCCTCCCACCCCAGCGTCACCACCTTGTCTGTGACCTTGTGTGTGTCACTTTCCCTTTTTCTAAAAAACAGATGAAAATGAAAATATCAACAACTTCACAGAGTTGTACAAAACAGTGTCTAGTAAATAGGTGCTCAGGAAATAGAACCAGTGTTGCCACTGCCAGCATCCCTGCCCCAGTGACCAGGAGATGGCTTAGGCACCCACCTCTTCTCCTCCCCGGGTTATTTCCCCTGTGCATGCATGTGAGCATGGGGCGTCAGGAAGCGGCAGCACATGCACAGATGATCAATGCTTTAATCATGTCAGGGGCAGACACTGAGCAGCCCTGCCAAGGCCTCCATAGCTACTGTGCCACAACCAGCTCTGGGCTGCCACCCTGACAGTGAAGTGGAGAGCTGGGGTCTGGGGCATAGCCTCTGGGCCACAGAGGCCTCCTTGCAGGACCCCAATCCCAGAGCGGGTGGTACTCACAATGCCAGCAGCCCACCGACTTCTCCTCCTTTTGCCAAGGAGTCTAAGATGCTTCATACCCTTCAGACCATGAGGTGGTCTTCACAGGTGACCTATGGGGCTGGGCTGGCCAGGTCTGAGCCAAGAGACTTCCAGCAGAAGGTGGTTGGGGCATGGTTTAGAACCCTCCCAGGGACTGTGGCTGGGGTGACCCAGGGAACATCATTCCAAGTGCACAAGAAGTGGCAGCAGGGTCAAGCAAGTTCCTGCTGCAAGGATGTCAGAAGCCTAGGGGGTGTGTGAGGCTGCAGGGATGAAGGAACCTGGGCTACCAGCTGACCAGCCTCAGCTCGATAGTTTCTCCATCCTTGGGTCTGTAGTCAGCAATACCTGCAGAAATGAGCAAGGGGGGTTAACTGGGCAGAGTATTTCACCCTCAACCTCACCTTTGGAACTCCCTGCCCCTGAGGCCAGGATCTATAAGATCCACTCAGGGCTTGGTGGTGGGAAGCTGGGCCCTTGACAACACCTGACAGGCAGGGTCACTGCCTTCACAATACCCCAGGGGCCTTCGGGAAGAGGGAATTGCTCAGTATGGTCCAGAGGGAGAACCAGGATCACAAGGAAGTTTCCAGGAGCCAAACTTCACTCACTAGAGAGAATCCAGGCTCTAGTAGGACACCTGGGTTCAAGCCCCTGCTCTGTGACTCATTAGCACTGTGACTTTGGACGAGTTACTTAACCCCCTGTGAGTACTGGTGGCTAAATGGGGATGCAAACCGCAGGGAGTCAAAAGGGGCATCTGGAACCCAGGTGTCGGAATATCTCCTTTCAATGGAGGTGCTATGGTCTGGATGTTTGTGTCCCACAAAATTCACGTGTCGAAACCTAATCCCCAAGGTGATATTAGGAGGTGGGGCCTTCGGAAGATGATTAGGTGACGAGGGCAAAGCCTTCATGAATGGAATTTGTACCTTTATAAAACAAACCCCAGAGAGTTGTCTTGATCCCTTCACCACAAAGGACACAGCGAGAAATACCATCTATGAACCAGAAAGTGGTCATCCACCAGACACCAACTCTGTTGGTGTCCTGATCTTGAACTTCCATTCTCCAGAACTGTGAGAAATAAGTTTCTGTTGTTTATAAGAGCTACCTAGTGTATGGATGGTATTTTGTTATAGCAGCCTGAAGGGACTAAGACAAGAGGAACTCAATGACTATAACTTTAGCCACTTTTCACCCCAAGAAGGCAAAGGAATGATTAATGCAATTGGTCAATTTGGGAAGACTAAACTAGGCAGGCATAGCCTGAGCTCTCTTTTTCTTTCTTTCTTTCCTTTTTTTTTCTCGTGGGAGTAGACTTCCTGCTGAACTGGGGAGTGGGGGGGTAGAGAGGGTAGATGGAGGCTATATTTACCCAGATCTGCTTTCTGGCTTGGTCCACTTGGCTTCCACCCTAGGTTACAACTTTCCATCTTTATCATTAATAGAACTGACCAGATTTGGGGTCTCCATCTGTAGCCCTTTGTGTCATTTCTCAATTTATTCAGAACAAGGGCAGAAAAAATAATGCTTTTAAGTGGGCTCCCTCAGAAAGTCTCATATTCTATAAAGCACTTGGCACAGTGCCTGGCAGTGATGTAAAAGGAACTTAAGTAACAAAAGTAGGGACAGATTACTTTTAAGAGTCTGCCAGGTAACTGGGCTGATGCACAAGGATGCTCAACACTGCTTGGGGCATAGGAGTTAAAACTGGAAACACCCTAAAGGTCCTATAGGAGTTGATAAGTTGTGGTCCGGCCATCCCATTCCATGCCCCATGGTGCAGTGACCCAGCTCCAGGGCTGAGCCCTGATTGACCTAAGCCAACCATGGTAATCCCTTCCCTAATTGGCCATTGCCTTGGTTAATGGTGGGCTCAAAACCTGGGCAATCTCCCAGCAACATGGATGGGTGCAGAAATGGGCATGAGATGCCAGAAATGGCCTTTGAGATGCCAGAAGTTTGCTGAAGGCTTTAGAGAGACAAATTCCCTCAGTCATGAAAGGGAACAGCCCAGGAGGACATAGAAGGGTCTCTCGGAAGTGGAAGCCCTGAAGAGAGAAGAGAGCCAAAGAAGTCTCAGGGAAGCAGGCTGGAGCCCTGGTTACAACACTCCTGAAATCTTTACTACCTCTGGATTTCTGGTCATACAAACCAATGGATGTCATAATGTCAAAGCTAGTTTCCATTGCATTTTCTTTTACTTGCAGGTCAAAGCACTCTCGTGGTTGATATAGTCTATGTGGCTATTATAAAGGAAGAGGAAGATCTACATATACCAACATATAAAGATGCCTACAATATATCGAGAATGGAAAAAAAAAAAAAAAACAATATATAGAGCTGTGTTGTCCAATAGACTGGCCACTAGCCACAGGCAGCAACAGAGAACCTGAAATCTTAGTACAAAAAGACATGTAAAATACATTGTGAAGAATTTTACATTGATTACACCCTAGAATATTTTAGATATTCTAAAACACTGGGTTAAATAAGATATACTATTAATACTAGTTTTACCAAATAGAAACTTTAAAATTATTACATGTGGATAATATTTTATGTCTATTGGATAGCACTGATATAGCTCCATTTTTTGTGAAAAAACAAGCTTACATATTCTTATAGAAGAAAAGACACCAAAAGTTAAAAGAAGTTATTCTAGGTAGTGAATTCTAGGTGATTTTAATTTTCTTCTCTTTTTTTGGATTAAAAATATAGTTTATAAAACCGGGCTCAGTGGCTCAGCCTGTAATCCCGCGCCTTGGGAGGCTGAGGTGAGTGGATTGCCTCAGCCCGTGGGTTCGAGACCCGCC